GGACACTGGAATCTCCAAGGTAAAAAGAAGGATGTTAAATTTCTGACTCCAACATTTATAGATTTTCAAAAGTGACAGTGGATTGGAGGGTGACAGTGCCACCTCTCCAATGACACTGGACAAACCAACAGTCCATCAAACTTCTCCTCTTCCAAAAAAGAATGCAAAACAATAATTATTTTGAGAAAATTATGTGAGAAAGTTCATTACAAGAATGTAAACATCAGAAGGCTTAAAAGAACTTAGAAGAACAGGGCGAATGATCTCTCAATGGATCTCCCATCCCATGAATTTCTTTCTCCACTTTCTTTAGCCTGAGTATTCTATAGTTCTGTTTCACAGCATCTTTTTAACACTCTCAAGCTTCTGAATGTGTAATCAACCACCCACCAAATAAGCATCTTTATAGCCGAAGTGCATGTTCATTCATTTGTGTGAGAACTCCCACATTAAAGTGAGAATTGTTGTAAAACTGTTCATTCTAGTATCATCCTTACCCAAAGCACAGTGCTCTCTTTTTTATTTTTGCTTGTTTTTTCTTGTTTTTGTTTTTTGGGGTTTTTTTTGTTTGTTTGCTTTTTTGGTTTTGTGCTTATTCTCATTAAAATTTAGCATCTTCTGGATTAAATTATGTGACAGGATAAAATTCAGTACCAGAATTATGCCTTATCCTTATAGTTTGCTAAGAGGTATATCCCTTCTCCTATTAGTAACTGCCATTCCCCAGTACACATAGAAGCTCATCACTCTCAGACTCACTTGCTGTATCTTTTGACTTTATGTAATGCTGAGACTCACATAAACTAAGACTACTCTTAACCCTAAGGGGTTACTTTGCATGATGGCTCCTCTGTTGTTTGTCTTATCAATCAATAACCAACTGAAACTCAACTTCAGTTCTAATCCACCAGTTCTCCCTGGGATACAACATGCAAATAGCTCGACATAAATCATGTGCCTAAAAATAAACAGTACTCCAAACCTTTGCAATGGAAAGAAGGAAAAAAGAGGGTTAATAAAACCTTACTCATTTGGATATCTGCTTCAAGCTTTTTTTCTTTGGAAGTGCTTTTTACTACTTGAAAGATTTATTAAAAGGATATATATCCCTAGGCCATTTTTCCTATAAAACATGAGCATGAGACTTCCTTAGGGACATGACTATGTGAATTTATTTCATTTGAAGAGCATTAGAAAGGCAAAAACACAAAGAGAAAGTGTCAGGAATCTGACTCATAACAGGAACATAAAGACTAACCTCTTTCATCTGTTTTCCTGACTAATAGATAAAGAAAAAAGAGCCTTGAATACTTTCAAGCAAAGTCTGTAAAGTTATTCAAGATTTGAGTGGCAATGAATAATCCAGGGAAACTACATCAAGGGTGGAAGTTGAGAAATGCTGTTTAATAAACAAAAATACAATGTGATACACAGTATGCAACCAACAGACAGGAAAGTTTACCTGTGATCATTATTATTTTGGCTATATTTCATGTAACACATAAGATACGGACGGAAGGCTGCAAGACATAAAAATGTTTCCCTTTGACAACCTAAAAAACAAATATAATTTCATAGTTCTGTTCATATGTCTATGTCAATCTCTTATCAGTAGACTAAGACATATTTGACTAGTAAGCTAATTATTTTAATGTAATTCCTATGAGTAAGGTCCCTAGAACTCCAGTAGGAGAACTATCTTTTTTCTTCTTCTTGATGGAGAAGAAAGCCTAGACAAATTACAAAGTTAAGTTAATATTTTTTATGTACCAGAAGTTTTAACTGAAACTCAAATGTATTTTGTTTTTCTCTCATGTGATAATCCAGAATATGTTCTTTGCCTCCCTGGCATATGTCAAAAGCATTCACTGGGAAATTTGAAGATAAGATTCTGTGAAAACCTAACTAAATCAACCTGTTTAATTCTTCTGCTTCATGCTCAGAAATTTAATAATTAACTATAAATACTGACAATTACTGTTTCTTCAATATAGCTTTTTTTGGGGGAGTAACTCTTGTTTACTGTAAATTGACAAAATAATTGTGATCATGATATGAACTAAGATAATCAAGACAGTTTTCCAGATTTCATTTTATGATACTCAAGTGTTCATACATCTTCATACAGGAAAAAAAGCTGCCATACCTGCCAAATTAATGCATCTCTTACTGCAAAAAATTATTTACACACACCACAATATGAAAGGTTCAAGTAATGCTAAGTATGTCAATGCCTGTACACGATATATTGAAGAGCCCAGATTTTAGTTATTAAAAAATCCAAGATTTTATTTCAGTTACTGACATAACTGAAATAAAAAACATATGAATAACAACCTAAAGCATTTTCTACCTTTTTTCCTTATAATTGCTTGATAGCTTGTACTACATGGGCAGGTGATAAAAAACCTAAATCACTTTCTTGTGTTGCACTATAATATATATTCATTGAGTGACCTCTGAAGTATAATTAGAAAATATAGTTTTTTGGAATGTATTGTCATTTATATGTATCTGTTTAGGTGAAGTAAAGATAGAATATCTAACTTATCAATGGTTCACATCAAAATATCAATTTAAATATTAATGCAGATTTAAAAATTAATAAGATTTATAACATGGCAAGAAATGATGCAATTCTCCTTAAATCAAATATCTGAATAGGCCTAATCAGTTAACAGGTCTTAAACACAGAAGAGATAGCATTCTGTCTATCTATATATTACTTGATTAAAACTATTTTATATGAAAATACCCCCATCTTTTAAAGCATGTAACTAGACACCAAGTAGCCAGTATACCTTATAGATGATTTCATATATTTCATCATAAGACATGCATTTCTAGACTCTCAAATTATTGAAGTTTCATCTGTCCTATTCTAGATGAAGATTTCTAGGCATTTCTTCCCAATGCTCTCCTAAGCAGCACATACTCAGATCAGTTCCTGGATAAAAATGAACTGTGTCTCTTCTGTTTGATTTAGAAATTTAGAATACTTTTTGTCTTTTTTTATCACTGAAAACTGAGAAAAAAGTTGAGGCACCAGGGATTTTTCAGTCCAGCTGTTGTGGCATAGATCAATATTTAAAATGCACAGTGGCGATTTTTCTTCCCTTGAAAGTAGGACTTTGTGCCCTGAATTCTGGTACTGTTAAATCCAAGACTTTATCAGTGTTGAACACAAACCCTAATATTGGTTTTTATCCAGAAGCAGTACTCCACTGACAAGCTAAACAAAACAGTAATATACTTCAGTCATCAAGTAAATATAACAGTAATAAAATTTTTAATTTGTGTTTGATTTTTTTGCTTCCCTGAAGGAATTGTCAAGCTATAATACTTTATGAATTAGGAGTTAAAACATTCCAGCTTGAGGGAAATAACTCCTTCAACCTTATTTCTTGATTTCACAGTTAGAACAACAAACTTTTGAGAGCTCATGAGTGCATGGGTAAAGCTGGCCAATGGAAAGATTCCTGGTTGAAAATACAATGTTTCATCATTTTCCTAGGGATAAATCTTCTTCTAGAAGATTACTTAGTAAGGTACAGGTGAATTGCAGGTGTTCTGTGTATCATCTTATTGCCACCAACTTCTCATGCGTGGGGTTTATGAGCCAGATGACAATATGCAATTTTACTGCCATATCCCTCTCCTACATTTCACCATAAAGCTTTTAATTCTGTAATTATGTCCCCGATGCAGTGTACTCTGTGACACCCCTCCCAAGTGGGCAGATGTTCCTAAGCAGATCTCTTATGTTGTGAAAGGAATCTCCCTTGGGTTTAGCACTGTCAGACTGCATTAAGAGCAGGTATGAAAGGTAAGAAGCAGATGCGTAGTGCTATTTCTGTTTGACACACTGTACCTCCAGCCAATGTTTTCCACTGGTACAGCAACACTGAGCCAACAGGCTAATGAATGGAGCCTGCAGAATACATTGTTAACCTGCAACCTCACCCAGTCTCCATGCAGTCTATTAAGTCAGTACTCCTATTATTCACATTTTTCTGTTTACTGCTGCTGATACATTTGCTGTTGTACTTTATTTTGCTCCCAGTAATATACAGCTGTCTCAGAACCAAAATACCAAGGTGAGTGGACCGGCACTGGAGGGAGAAGAGGAGGAGGCTGTGAGGGGCAGTTGGTGACCTGCCGACTTACTTGCACGACGAAGCTTGCAGCATCTCCTTTTCCCTCTGTCTCCTCTCACTGACGGCCCCAGAGCACATCTGCGTCACATGCAAGGGAGGGGGCGGCTTGGTGAGAGGCGCCGAGATAGACAGAAAATTGTGTACTGAGGACCTTGACAGCCTCACGGGCGGGATTTTTTTTTCCCCCTCCTACGTACAGTGCATATAAAGGAGCCCCGATTTCTTCCTGTGCCAGCTCTCAGGCTTTGCCATCCCAGATAACGGCAGGCATGGGACTCCCCAGAGAAACGGGATGGGAAGGCGGGAGGTGGAGAGAGGCTTCCAGGTGACTTTTTCCTCTCTGCCCGCACTCGGTCACGGAGCTCTAAGAGACTGAGGAGGTGCCACCTGCCTCCCGATGTGGATGCTGCCGCCGCCGCTCCTCTCCGGGCTCTAGCTCGCTCCCCCGTTAATCAGATTAGCGCGTCCTAGCAGCCTCCCTCACCCGCTCTTCCCTCGCAAGTGTCCGTCTCCCCTGAGAGATGTCTCTCAATTCTGCCTCTCTCTCCTCCCCTTTCCACTGATCACCGTGCAGTTCTCGTCAGCTCTGGGCACCTCGCCCTCTCTCTTCCTCCCCTTCCTGCTGGGTGTCTCTGTGCATCGCTCCATCCATCCTCCCTCTCTCTCCGCACTGGGGTGTGCGCGCATCTCTCTCCGCCCGGCGGCTGCCACCCCTCGCCCTACAAGCCCAGCGCTGCCCGGAGGAGCCGCCGCTGCCGCTGCCGCCGCTGCCGCCGCCGGGCCCTGCCTGGCCGCCGTGAGTCCCGCCTCAGCCCGCGCCCGTCCCCCGCCCGCCGCGGCACCATGTCCGGCTCCGGCAGGAAAGACTTCGACGTGAAGCACATCCTGCGCCTCCGCTGGAAACTGTTCAGCCACCCCTCGCCGGCGGGCGGCCCGGCGGGGGGAGGCTGCCTGCCGCCCGACAGCAGCTTCGAGCACTGGGGACCGAGCCAGAGCCGCCTGCTGAAGAGCCAGGAGAGAGGCAACGGCGTCTTCTGGAAGAAATCCGCCTCCTCCGCCTCCTCCTCGGCGGCCACCACGGCCAGCCCGCCCAACGGGACGCTGCTGCCCGCCGGCGGCCGGCCGGCCGCGGGGCACGGCCCGGGACCGCCGCCGCCCCGCACCGTCTTCTACGTGGAGTCCCTGGAGGAGGAGGAGGAGGAGGCGGTGCCCGGCGGGATGGAGGTGGCCCGCGAGCCCGAGAAGCCCCTGGCGCCGGCGGAGCGGGAGGAGGCGCCGGGGGGCTGCGCCGATGGAGGCAGCCGGGCAACAGGTGACGGAGGCGGGCACAGGTAGGGCAGCTCCGGTGCCACCTGCGCGCCCGGGTCCGCGGGGGCATCGCGGGGCTCATCGCGGGGCTGTGGCGGGGCGGGGACGCAGCCGGGCCGGTGTGCTGGCCTGGGTGCGGGAGGGTGCGGGTCTGGGAGCGGGATGAGTCCTACAGTCAGAACTGGCGGGGTTTGGAGGCGGAGGGAAGGGCGGCTGGAGGGCTGCCCAGGGTCCCGGTCCAGACCGGCCAGCCTCACGGTCAAGGTGTCGCGGACCAGGGATGCTGCCCTTGGCCTGCCCCTGGCCGTGCCCCTGCTCCTGGCCTGTGGCTGTCCCTGTCCCTGTCCCTGTCCCTGTCCCTGTCCGCACCTCCGCCCCCGCAGCTGGGCTGCCCCTGCCCGACAACAGGCTCCTCTCAAAGCCGGCGCTCCGCGCTGGGGACCGTCGCTCCCCAACTTTCTCAGAAGTTTATTAAAACGCTAGCGGGAGGTGGTGTTGTGCTGGGTACTGGGATGACAGGTGAAAGCTCGCAAGTAAAAGCTTTCTTGAAACTCGGCGGTGTTACAGCCTACCTCAGAGAAAAATAAGACTTGAAAGAATTTTATGAGTCATCAACTGAGTGACACATGAGAGAATGTAAGAGCAAGAAAGACACATCCAGAATCTTGCATTTCATACAAATGCGTTAATGTTGAATTGCTTTTCCTTCCCATCCCCTGCCCTCCTCATGCCCAGCTGAAACAGAAATTAAAATCTTTTGAAGAAGGAAATGTATCTGACAGAGAGCTTTCAGAAAAACTCTGATACAGATAGTCCTAAGCGTAAAATGAGTCATTACTTTAACTCTGCTTGCTCCTGCCTCCCCACAGTTAAGATTACTTCATTTTCATTTCCCTTGGTTTTTATTTGTTTGGTTTTTTTTTTTTTTTTTTCCCTATGGAGAGAAATGTGCTGTTCAGTTTCTAAATATGAAAAGAAATAAAATAAATTATTTGTTTTGTTGTTCTTATTTTCATATTAAAAGTTAAATATATAGTATTAAATATTTTATGACATGAAGGGATAGCACTGTGCTTATGTTTGGATTAGTACAGCTGTAGATAAACATATGGGTGTGTAACTTTGAGTATGTTACACCTTTTCAGAGAGCTCTAAAGCATATATTCTCTCCTTGAATCTCTTATTGTTTTGTCTGTTAGCATAGTTGATTTCATAGGAGCTACGTAATTTAAACATGTGAAATAGCTGCTAAGTGGGTTACAGTATATTTTTAAAGCAAAAGCAATACTGAAGTTTTTATGAACACTGGAAGTTGTTCTGAGCAACAAGAAAGTGCTTATCCTAGGATTCAATTGCAATTATCAGATACACTACAAAGACAGGTAATACACCAACCCTAAAATTATATCTTCAAGGTTTTTTAAGAGGGAATGGGAGAGGTTAAAAACTATTACAAATGTAATTTCATTCTATGGACTTTTCATTTAGGTGTGTCACTGATCTGAGATTCTGTAGAAATCTGCATACTAACCGAAATTTACTGAGTGGCACCACTTGATTTGTACATAAGATTTTACATTTGATAGAATGTATGTACTCTGTGACACTATGTATCTGATTACTGCTCTCGATTTTCCGTAATCCATTTCATGTTCTTCATTCATTGTTACTGAAACAACACATCTAGTCATCAGTAGCTCATAATCCTGTTGAAGAAATATGCTCAAATTTGTTCAGATTTAAAACAACTGCTTCAGGAGATGTGATTTCATTATTGATGAAAATGCCACCTTTTGAGGTACGAAAATGTTTAAGATAGTTTTAGGGTCTAAGACTTGACTTTCTCTTTCTTATTAAAGAACCTTTCATTTCCCTCTAGGAACTTTGTATGTTATGTCAAGAGGTGGTCAAGTGCTGCAAAAATGACAGTTCTGTGCTTGAAAGTTCTTTGATCCAACAATCTTCTAATGCCCTGGAAAGTTATGTCTCACTCATTCTGTAGACATAAGTCTTTTTATAAATGTTTTTTCTGCTATTGACATATATGTAGAAGTGAAAATTGCTTTTTGGTTTTTTTTTTTTAGTGCCTACTTAGTATGATTGTATCTCCAAAATAGTGTTGGTTGGATTCTTGTTTGGGGTTTTTTTTTGTTAGTTTCTTTGTATTAATTTTTTTCCTCATTTAGTCTCCTCAGCTTGGTACATGAATTTTGTACTGGTATCCTTTTTCAGCTCAGCTGGATTTGTTTTTCAGTGGAGTTTTAGTTACTGTTTCTACATCTAAGCTAAACACAAAGCTGGACAATCTTGAATTCTTGGTTTTAATGTTCTGTTAGATATTGTGGGATTTATTTAATGAGAGAATATGGTTGTGTAATAATAAATACAGTCTACTTTGCTAATTTGAGTTTTTCTGCATGTTTCTGAAGAACATCCTGTCATTACAATTGTACAGTTTATCTATGCATTAGTAAGGAATAAACATGGATAGTCCTACTGGCATTGAGAAGACTGAAGGGTTAGATAGAGCATGTTATAAACTACTTATCTAATTGTTCTACTTTCTATATTGTATCTGTAAAAAGAAAAAAATGCTTTACAGTTAACAATTAGTGTTAGAACATGGTCTCATTGCTTGAAATTTCTTGGAAACATGCATATCAAATTGGTTTAGAGCTGGCATGACAAAATTGTCAATAGATGCAGTGCATATTTAAAGATTCTTTTTTTGATCTTCATTTCCTGAGACAAAACCGGTAGGAAAAAAAAAATCTATAATACGAATTTTTAATTAAAATTTAAAAATCCGCCTCAAAATGCTCGGAAAAGACCAGTGCAAAGATTTGTGATGCATCCATCAAAGTTTATAATGGAGATTTTACATGTTCACAATGGCTCTTTTCAGGTGACTTGTTAATCAACCCTCAACGTGAATGGGATTCACTTAATAGGAAAAGAGTTAGTATTTTAGCCCCTCCTTCCTGAATAGGTGGTAGCATGTTTTCCTTGCCTCACACTATTCGAATCCTATGAAGATGTAATTCCTCATGAGCCCTTGGCACTGTTCACCACTACACTCAATATGTTCCTCACAAACTAGTAACAGGTTTATTTTTACAACAGCCCTATTTTACAGAGGAGGGGCAAGCCAGAAAGAGAGATAAAAGTAAAAAAAAAAAATTGAATTGATTGGTTTCAGCACATATAGCACTTTTCTCCCACTGCTTTCTCTGTTCTCAGTTGCACCCATAAATGATGAGCCCATTTGCAAACCAGTCCCAGACTCCTCTGGTTGTGTGTGAGAGGAGTGGAGAACACAGAATTCAATTAACATTTGGTTTAAGAGACACTGCCAAGAAGAATATGCCAGATATGCCTAACCCACGTAAAGCAAGCACTGAAAATGCAGAAGTCTTCCATAAAACATACAAGAATTCAAAAATATAGCTTAGGAAAGAAGATGGCAAATCTTCCCACCATTAGATACTTTCTAATAGTGGTGTACTGTCAAGAAAGAAGGAAAAGGACTGAATACTGTGCCTTCCTCACACAACAGAGTTTCATGCTCAAATGTTGAGTCACTAGAAAAAAAGTACTGAGGAAGGTATTTTACTGTGTTTCTGTAAAGTTTTGTCAATGGGAAGTAAAAAATTCAGAATTAATGGGAATCCAAAAGGTTAATAAGTGAGACAATAATTTTCTAATTCAAACATTAACTGAGAAATTTAGTTTGCATGTCTCTGTGGTCAAAACTATTTATTTAAATTAAATCACTGTGATCAGTGTAGAATCAGGAACATAAAAATGTGCACGGTTAAACTATATGGTCAAAGCTTTTGTATAAGCTTTTCTTTTGTATTTTTCTGTTCTAAGCCCACAAATCCTGCATTTTGATGCTTTTGCCAATCAGTCTCCACTTCCAAGTCTTCTTCCTTTTCTCCTAGCAACCTACAATCTTGTGGTTGGCATGCTGCTGTAGAAAGTTACGAATTTGAAACCTATCAGGACGAGCAACATTCCCGATGCAGCTTTCTAATTTAATGAGAAAATATTTTGTCCATTTTAGAAAATGTAGATAAAACTGTCATAAAATATGCTACTTGACTATTTCATGTACTGCTGTAACTTTATCTAGTCTTAGGAGAAGATTCTGGTCCCTGGTTTCTAAGTAAATGGAGCTTCCTGTTTACAGCTTTCATCTTGGTACCTGAACTTACAAGAAGAGGAGAATCAAGATACCTTCCTGTGCCTTAGTCTACCCTGTGAGCTCTCACAACTTCACGTATTTTCACAACTGATCATGTGGCCTTTCTGAGGTGTTATCCATATTTTAACCATACCTTCCTTCTCCTGTGATAACCAGATCCAAAAATTAGATCCTAAAGAAATCAAATTATTAGCTGCTTATGTTTTTTGTATTATCTCATATAAACTGCTTTGTTAAGAAGGTAATTTAATTATTGGGGTGGAATATAGATCACACAATTCTGCATTTCTAGGTTATGGAATCAGAAGAGGATAATCCATTTGTTTTTGTCATGAGCCAGTTTTTCAACTTTATTATGAAACTTCTAAAAATGGTTATGTAACTTGTAGGCTTTTATATTTATACTTTTAACTTTCACAACAAAAGAATCAGGGTTGCTACACAACACAGGCCACAGACCTTTCTCCTCCAAAGTTCTTATTCATTCTCAGAGGATCTATGCTCCGTGCATGGGATGCAGAAGAATCAGGTGATAAAAATAGTGCAGGATCACATAGCTGAAGACTGTATATATATACGTGTATGGAATTAGATAGGTTACAAAGAGAATCTGAGTCTAGAATTTCCTAACTTTAAAAACTGGCTTTGGTACTTGTAGAACAGCATTTCTAAAGCTTGGCTGTTTGTTTTGGTTTGGTTTTTAACAAAAGAAGCAGAAGAGCACACAAGTCACTTCATGTACTGGCACTTCTTTTGTCCATCACTTGAATACAGAACTGAAACCTGAGGATTCACTGTGTATCCCATTGACACTTG